AGATTCCGTTTGGTGGATTTGAGACTCGCCGTAATCGTAGCAATCGATGGGTGTCGTAGGGGAAGACAGAAGCAGAAAATGATGGCGTCTCGTCCCTTCGATGATGATGGCTACATTGGCTACGATACTCACCTTCCGTCTTAGCGATTTGACTCGTTCTCCAACTTCGACGTTGGCTCAGTCAAGGACTCAGTATATGACTCACCGCCAATATTCAGCAGTCGATTATACAACTCTGGAGATGATGTGTTCGTATCTCAGCCGATTCTTGAGACTCCATTGCCGCCACCAATCGGTGGCGGTAGTGTTGGATTCTCGGAATTCTCAGCTGAGGAGAACAGAAACGATCTCGACGGCAGTGCTTCGGCTGGGGGCGGCAGTGTTGGATTCTCGGAATTCTCAGCTGAGGAGAACAGAAACGATCTCGACGGTAGTGCTTTGGCAATTAAAATGTAGTGAAAAGCCAAAAAAAAAAATAATAATAATAAAAAAAATTCCTGTATTTAGGTGAATACCAAAAATAGGCCTTGCGTTTGATAAAAAATGCAGGTAAAGACAACAATAATTTGGGACTTTTGACATGGGCATTACCTGCATTTCTTTGAGTGATTACCCTGCGTTTTCAATAAATGCAGGAGAAAATGGGTTTATACCAGCGTTTGTGTGTCGTTTGTGCAAATGCTGGTAACCTTTTTACTTGAATTTTTAAAAGCAGGTAAATACTTAAACAAATGCAGGGAATTAACCTTTTTCTTGTAGTGAATTGACCCAAGATAGATAATCCTCAGAGAAAAAGGCTGAGTGAGGCCTAGCGTAGCTCTTGTAGAAATACTTGGAAGAGCTTTTCCTAACCTAGCTTACATGTTCTTAACTGAACAACTCCTCAAACGGACTGCCACCACTTACTCTCTTGGGTGCATTACAAATTTGCAATGCATTTATAATTCATAATTTCATAGTCATAGCGTCTGTTCTCACTGGCTTCCATTGGCTATCCATTTGTTTTCTAACAATCCATAATTAATATGGGATCGTGAATGACATACATATATATATATATATATAAAAGTCAAGATTTATTTACATATAAATTTTACACATTATATTTACATAAAATCTTTATTATTCATTTCTCTATTTTTAGTAGTTGAGATTTACGACAAATTATTAGATGAAAAAGGATAATTATCTTTAATAAATATAATAAAAAGTGAATAAATCTCAACAATTAAAAAAAAGAGATGAATTATCAAAATTTTGTGTAAAGTGTAATGTATAAGATTTGTAGTAAGTGGATCCTATCTTCCTAAAAAATCATAATTTTCTAAAAGCTAAAAAGCTAAAAAAGATAATGAAAAAAGTTAAAAATACCTTTGAAGGTATTTGATTAATTTCAAAAACAATACTAATATTTTAAATGTCAAAACATAATTTTTAATTCTAAATTAATATTCACTCATAACCTCCTAATGGGCAGCTAAATGTGCTTAATGGGTTATTTGATATGGTATTTTGAAAGCAAACGATTTGTCAAATATTTGATAGCTATAATTATAATTGTTATTATTATTAATTCAAATATTCTTATTTATTAAATTAGATAAAATTACTTGTTATAACCCAATTTTTCATTAAGTTCATTTAAAATTTTCACAAATATATATATAAATCACAAAATTAATAAAAAAATCATAAAAATTTATAAAATGTCGAAACAAACACAAAAATATATAAAAATATGAATTTTTCTCTTTTCTTTAATTAATATATCTTTATTTTGTTTTTGGTGCTACATGCAAAAAGAAAGTTTCAAGAAGAAATTGAAGAAGAAATTCAAGAAAGGGGACTCAATTGAAAGAAGTTAAACCTTGAGATCAAATTACAAAAATCATATAAAAACCTTGAAGTTTAACTTGTTTACACGTCAAACCAATCTCAAATGGTCCAATTCCATCAAAAAATTAGCCCAAAAACACTAAACTCAAATTCAGCCCAAACCCAACACTAAAAAAAAACCTCTAGTTTCCTTTCTCTCTTAAGGGGAGAAGAGCGGACACAAAAAAAGGGACCGGCAGAACAAAAAAAGAAGAAAAAAAAGGGGTAAAAACCCTTCTTAAGCCCTCAAATTTATCTCAAAATAACATTTAAGCCCATAAACTAAAAATGATGCAAATAAGCCCTCCAACTCCACTAATAATGCAAATAAGCCATTTTCACAAACGGGCCAAAAGGTGCATCTCACGGTGGACTAACTCCGTTTCTTTTTTGGACTTCCACTAATACACATAGATACAAATGTTGATGTGGCACTACTCCATGTATAAAAGGATCAAAGTGCTCATTGTATAAAAGCTAAAGGATCAGATCTGCTAGTTTACCATTAAAGAAATAACGAAAGGAGTTAGAAACCAACACGGGTATAGTGTTGCCCCTATCGTGTGGTGTCAGTACCATGTGTTAAGCCTTTACTAAAATAGTTTGGCGTGAAAAAATAAAAAATGCATGCACCAAAAACACATCCAGCATTAATAATTTTTTTTGTCCGAATTTCTACTTCATTTAAATAATTTAATTTTAATTTTTTATATAAATTTAGAATTAATTAATATTGATAATTAATTAATTTATAATATTTGTGAAATAATATTTAATTTTCATGATTATATTACTTAAAGTAATTAATACTCTTATTGGAGTAAAACAAATACAAGAACTTGAGCTTAAACCACATATATAATATTAGTACGTATCAATCTTAATTCTTAAAAAAATTAAAATTTCAACTTATATTTAAAAATTAAAATTTTAATTCAAAATTTAAAAATACAATCAATTTCTAAATCTAAATATTAATATTTAATAAAATAAA